CCAAAGAACTACTTTAAGCGCGCACCTTTCATCAAACTTATAATTGAATACATATATATCTATAAGTTAAAGATCAAAATAGAAATTAACCGAGTCATGGCGGTCACAAGTCTTCGAGCGACTTGATCCCTTCCATGTACCACAAATCATTTCTAATTCAACTTTACTTTAATATGGAACAAACCATTCGTACCATAACCATAAGCCATCCAACTTTTATGTATATACTATAAAATCGAATATCCATAATGATGGTATTATATGTGAAGAATCAAACATCTTTTATTGAATTCAATAAGTATCAAATCAATAATTGAGCAATTTCATTCAGTATTGGTCAGTCCAACAAGGCTCCATTCGTTAATCCCAATTTTCTTTACATGCCTTGCAAAGGCTACAGGGAATAACCCTTTAATGGATCCGCTTTCATGAAATTAGTACTAAAATACTCAAATGACACTTTGTTTCTTCACTTCTACTTTTATGACCAAGTATTTAAATTTTATGTGATTCACACTCTTTGAATACTTGTCATTTCCTTGAAATATTATTGCTACAAAACTACGTTAATTCTTAGCGGCTTGGACAAGATGTCGACATTTCCAAGTCCTAAGATAAAGCATCGTAGCCCTAATTTTGACTTGTGACCTCAAAGCATACCACAAACTCAAACTTAATCGTGGAAGTCACGATGATGGACTTTGTTCCACTTTCCATAATCTTGCTCCTTTAGACATTATGAGCAAAAGTCTGAATCCGAGTATCCAATTATAACAAATAATTTGGATATTCTTTAAGTTAGCATGTGTTCTTTGATGCCTTGTAAATACTTTAAAATTTCATTTGCAGCATTTAAATAATCCTTCAGGGATTACTTTTATATTTGCTTAACTTACCAGCAAGAAATATGTTATCAAACCAAATACAGGTTCGTCTCGCTTAAGACTCCTAATCATTTATATCTAAGGAATTTTCTCCATCACTTTTTTTTTCCATTTCGCCTTCGGACATTTATTTAAACTAAATATGTCCCTTTTATGAATTGGAATTATACCGAATAACCATCCATTACCTCTCAAATAAAACTTTAATGGGATAAACTTTTAGTCCTACTGATATATTCCAGAATATTTCTATTCCAATTACCAAGCACGTTTCATCCACATTCTTTATTTCATAATTTTCAGAGAGATAATACTTTAATTCGTGCAACATGTTCACATTATTAGCAACTATAAATATGTTATCGACATACGAAACTAAAATAACAAATCTACTCCCACTAATCTTAATATAGATACACCGGTCTACGGTATTCTCTATAAAACCATAAGCAGTGATGATATCATTAAACTTAAGATACCATTGACGAGAGACTTGTTTTAGTCAATATATCGATCTATTCAACTTACACACTAACATTTCATTCTTGTGATCTCAAAAACTTTTAATTAGTTCATGTAGATCTCCTTTTAAGTTTATCATTTAGAAGGTGATCTTTATGTCCATTTGATAAAGCTCAACATCATACAGAGCCACTATCACCATTACAATTCTCAAGGAATCATTCTTAAAAACGAGAGAAAACGTTTCCTTGTAGTCAATGCCTTCCTTTTGGATGTAGCATTCAACTCTAACTTTATACCTTTCGATATTACCTTTGGAGTGGTGTTTGGTTTTGGAAAACTCATTTACACACAACTCTTGTATACCCTTCAGGTAATTCTACTAAATTTTAAACTTTATTGTCATCCCTTGACTTTAATTATTCTTTCATGGCATTGATAAACTTTTCCAGAATTTTTACTTTT